CGTATGCAAACGCGCGCATTTTTGCAATCACGCAACACTATCGCAACGCTATCGCATGCGTCCTCTTGCGTCGCACGCACACGGGCACAGAGAGAGAGAGATACACACGTACCCACGCGTTGATATAGCAGATATAGCGGCTATAGACTTCCACACGTTTCTCGTATCTTGTCTCGTCTCGTCTTGCTGCGTTGTTTTCGTCGAGGGGGCAGACCCCGTGGATCTCGACTCCCCACAGCTACGTCACGAGCGTCTATTTATATACGTCTTCGACGCGGCATATAAATGTATACGGGGTGTTCCGCGAGATTCGCATTTCGCGGCTTGCGCTTTGTCGTTTATAGCTGATCGAAGATCGAAGATCTTCACCGAGAGAAATATGATGTACGAGTTGTACCGAGGGGAAAATTGCGGAAAATTCGCCGAAGCGATTCGGTATCATCGTGTAAAATCCACGAGGGCAGAACACTCCACCAAGTTTTTGATATTTTTTGTACGTGGAACGAGCAGGAGAGAAATATAAATTTGCCATGGATGAATTTAATGATTAACGATAACGATAAGGAAAGCGGTGCGGTGATAGACGTTTGACTTTTGACTTGGAGATTAATTTATAGAGATTTACAGAGATTTTTGTCCGCGACAAACGCCACTCCGTATATCCATTCTTCGTGAATGAAATCTTCGTCTGGCGAAGAAACTGGTGTACCTACACACTGTCGTCGATGCCAACTCAGACGGAATTTCCGCTGCCACATTCGCGATAACTGCGAGTCTCTGACATGCCTACAACGAAATTATATCAAATATTCACCGCAGGAAAATTCACGACGTCCGAAAAGAGGCGCGTCGATATCGATTTGGGTGGCCTGTGTTTATGAATGTGTCATACCTATTTTAATAATTTTTATATTTACAATGAAAAATTATGGAAAAACTTACAGATTATTCTAAATTATTCTAAATCGCATTTAAAAATTGTAACAGGAAGGTTAGCACTGATTTAGAATCTGAATGAAAAAAGCTATTTGAATAAAGTAATGAGGTGTGTTTTAATTGGAAATGTAATTAAGAAATAATGATAAAACTGTCAATTCTTTTGTAATAAGTATTCAAGCTGATTTATATAAAGTTTCGATGCAGAGATTAGTTGTTCTGTAAATAAAAATTTTATTTTATTTGTACCGTACTCACTCACATTTCGTTCGTACTCTTAATGAAAATTACATTTTTATATCAAAACGTCGTCGTCGACATAAATCATCATCTTGAATACTTAAAGTATTTATATAAAAAAAAAAAAATTAGATTTCTGTCATTATTTATATTAATTTCCGTCAAAGCACATTTCTGCTTTATATTTAAATAATTTTTGATTTTCAGGTTCCAACAAACTTTTGGCAAAATTTTTTGTAATTTTTAAATACGATCCGTCAGAATAATCTATAATATATTTTTCATAATTTTTCACTGTGGATAAAAATAGGGGTGTAGTCACACCCTGAAGACAATCGGGACAAAGGAGACTCGTCGTGAGTAACGAGTACCTGCGCACAAAGTATTCGGTAGATTCCTGTTTCCCGGTCAGGACGATTTTCCTTCCCCGAAAGGAGGAGGGAGGGGGGGGGAGAGAGAGATAAGTACGATACAGAGTGAGCGCATTAACGCGAGAATCATATTCGGTTCTCGACATCGTGTAGCTCTGTCATCACTCCTCGGGGTCTGCAATCTGCGTGAATTACGCGCCACGCGAGATTACAGGCGTGCGAAGAGACGACGGACGCACACGACGTGCACGTCGACGGCTCGGGTCGAGGGTAAGGTTTATTTCTCGCTGGGTGCACGAAAACGACTGCGATGATTCGAGCAATAAAGCTTAGAAAGCTGCGCTTTAATTCCGTTCCGGTATCGCGGCTCGCGGGCCGTTTTCTGCTTTTCTTCCTTTTTTTTTTTTTTCTCTCACCGAGCGCCGAGAGCGATCCTCGCCTCGACGCCGTCTTCCTTAGCCGGAAACCAATGCGAAGCCGCCGTCCGTCGATGCGTGCGCAGCACGGCGACATTCTCTGACATCGTTTACGGTAACAACCGTGAAAGAAAGAAGTCCCCGGCTGCAACGCGCCTATATCCGCTAATGGATATAAAGCCGTTCGCGAAGGCGCGTTTATCGCCTTCTCTCCGCGGAGAGGTCTTTTGTTCCACTTACGCCGTTAACCGTAAAGAACGGTCACAAGTCATAATTAAGCCAAACTAACGGTGCATTATATAAAAGTAAAGCAGAAATTAAACGGACAATGCCAATTTACTTTGCGCCGCGGAGGCATGCGCGGCTCGAATTTACTGTTAATTATGGCAGCTGTTAATTGTGAATATGAGAAAAATTACGTGGTCACGAAAAGAGGCCCGTTGACGAGCGGGGAATGCGTTTCTCGGTCTTTTGACAAAGGACATACAAGCTGGTGGACGTTACACCTGTATCGGTACGTGCGATCGTTTTCTGCACAGGTCGCAGAGAACAAGAGAAGTAAAAAAAAAGAATTTCCCTTCTCGTCTATAAATTTTATCTTGAACAACTGTGCGCCTCCAATTTTCGTTAACCGAATTTGACATGTCATCAGGAATAACGTTTTATTTAATTTTTCTTTATTAATTGTTTTTATACCGAAGACGATGTCGAAGGTCGAAACGGTCGATTTGCGTTGCGGTGAATGAATTTTCGCGAGCGTTAATATTTATTAAAATATATTTAGCATTGTCGTCGAGCTTCGGCAGTCGAGCAGTCTTTTGTTTATATTCTTGATTTACTTTTACACAGAGCTGTTATCGGTTAAGTTAAGTTTTTAGAAAGAAATTATATTTTCCGATGTCGTCCAATTAGTTATTAATTACCCGACGATTTCGTAAGGCGATTGTTGCATGTCTCGGCCTGTCGGGACGAGAAGCCGCGATACATTGTGTCGGCAATAAAATCGCTAATCTTCCGATAAACGCATTTGAATCGGGGCCAGCTATTTATAATTCCATCGGGATGCTTCTGGCTGAGTTATAGCCGCGTACAACATTGTGTGTTTGCGCGATCGATCAACGTACCGCGCATAGGTAACGCCGGAAAACTTGAAATACGATATATATATATTTTTTTTTTTCCTTTATTCGCCTTTAAACGGCCAATTCGGTGCATTTGTGACATTTCGCAACATTTTATTAAGCTACTCCAATAATCGAATCTCTTTTTGCACACTAATTGATAATTACGGCGCACGTAGTGACGGAATATTTACGCAACGCAAATATCGGGGGTCTCGCAAATGAATCTGCAACGACAATAACATAATAATAATAATAATAATAATAATAATAATAATAATAATAAGGATAATAACAGGATATTTAATTGTGCTGCTCGTTAATTATGCAATTTCCATTTCGAATCGAAATCGTTAATTATTTCCTTTTGGTCTTTCTCTCCGCTTGCCCGCTTCTCTACTCTCGATTTCTTTTGCAGCCAAATTGTGCAAGTATATTAATTGCGTTTCTAGAATTATCAAGAAACACAAAACGTCTTATTGCGTGACAACTGTAACGCGAAAAAAGTAAAAGGTACAACCAATACTCGAGCACGAATCGAAAAACCCGTGGATGAAAGGAGGCGGCGCGGCTGGTGTAAAAGCGATTTCTATCTTTAGAAATTTTATTTTGGGCTTCTCCTTCGCGCTCATAATGGCGATCGGTCGCGAAAATGGCACAGCCGACACAGTTTCCACGGCCGCCGTGCGGCCTCCGAGGAAAAGCGCGTATATGCGCGCGAGCACCAGAAAATTATGTGGTGAAACCGATCGATTTTTCAAGACAATCGAACGGATGCGAATTACAATTTCAAAATCGTCGTTAAAATGCATGAGCTTTCGCTCGGCGGCGACGACGACGACAACGATGATGATAACGATGAGGAGAACGAAGGCGACGACGGCGCGAGGGGGTAGGTAGAGAGGAAAAGGGCAAAGGTCCTGACATAAAATCGCTCAAAATTTACACAGAAAAAATGGGTTTAGTCTTAAATCAAGATTATATATTCTCATGTATAAGGGAATATTACAATCTTTCTTTGAAAAATTTTAGTATCGATGCAAATATAGACATTTTCGTATGTAAGCAAAAATATTATAAGATTCTTCTTAGAAAAAAAAATTTTCTGTACGATATAAAATCTCTGTTTGATTGAATTTGTATTGATGCAAGTCTAGACAAGTATATAGTATAAAATATTTTATATCGTGATTTAAAATTAATTTTTTTATGTATAAAATCTGAAATGTGTGTTTACTTATTTAATATGTTTGGCGAAAAGGAAGCAAAAAATTTAATTAATTATTTGTATCCATGATGATGCGACTGTTTATGTTTTTAGATTTAATATCAGAAACGTAATATGTATTTTTCGTCCGACTTGTTTGTTGTTGTTACGAGGACGTTGATAATCGCGGCCTCTTGTACGATTTAATCAAATTGTGACGAAGTTGTTTTCAATTAGCATTATTCGAAACGGACGCAGATAATCAAAGTCGAAAGATCGCGTTGAAGAATTACACGCGGGTCGAAATTTAAATAGTAGCCGTCCTTCGTTTGTTCCTTAGCGCCTTGTAGCCATAAGCGGCGCGAATTCTTACCGATCGATTTCTTTTCTATGTCAGCAGCTACGTAGTAGCTGCATACGTTCGGAGAATACGCATTTACACTTTTTTTTTTTTTCCATTACTGAAAACGTTCTGAAAGAATGATAATAATCAATCCGTGATCTCCGGGGAGATCTGACGGGCGACTGTCAGCCGTAAGATTGTATTAATGTGTTCGTTTGTTTATTTTCCGATAACGCAATCTAATATGTTAGATTTGCGCCGTAATTTCGCGCGACATGTGAATTATCGCGCGGGGGTCAGTGCACCTTCATTAAGTTACTTTGGACGAATTTAGCAAAGTAGTCAAGGCTAATGTATTGTTCGCAGGATAATCCGGCGGAGCACCTCTCCTCCTTGGCTACGACGCAGTATTGCCGCGAGTGAGTTTTTTGCATTAATTCCTCATTGGTGATGCGTGTGTTTTGTGACGTAAC